TGCACATACGGTGAGCATCCAAAGGATGCCTCACCCAGAAGAACAAACAGGCATTCAAAAGAGAGAGAATGCCTTTAGCTGGAGTGCGTTTTGAGCATGTATGGTGTTCACCATCCAAGCTTGGATTTGGCAGGACTGCAACAACATTGCTGGGCTGTCAAGACCCAGGCATGGTCAGCCTTTCCTCTGGGGACAGTGGAAGTTCAGCTACTTCTCATTCAACCTTTGGCCGTCCAGATGGAGTTGGCCGCATGCAATTCAGGTATGTAATTTCTTGAGGCACACACACACACACACTCACACAGCATGTAGATGCATGCATGGCATGATTGTTGCACGTTTGTGAAAACATTTGTTGCAGATCCAGATGTTGCAGAATATTCTTCGTTTGCTTCTTGTGCCTTTGATCGCATCCCTTCCCTCTTTTGCGTGCTTTGTTCCACCTGTGTACGTTACCTGGTCAGCTCATGCCCGAGATGCCCGAGTTGCTCTGGAGTGCAGAACTTCCCCACTTGTTGATCAGTCTAACGCGGGCTATGAGAGAGAACGTGTACCTTGTTGGGTGACATGACTGCATGAATACCGTGCACGCAAGTTACATTGAACTTAATCCCAATCCAAAATTGTTCTGCCAAGCATACTAGATCATTTATATATATATATATTTATGTGGTCAATGATTTTCAATGCAGCACGTATTGCATTGATACCTCAACAGTAAAGCTCGCTGAGAGCAGTGCATCAGCTGCTGGACCTCCCCGTTTGTGATGAATTGCGGTCAAGGCGACGGATTAGTTGTGAAGGTTATGCCGGAGACAAAGGAGAGTTTCTTATGCAAGCAATGCAGATGATTCGAAGAGAGGGGAAGGAACGACAGGAATAGAAACTAACTAAACGTGTCTTTGGTATCAGACATGCAGACACGTAGCGCACCCCTCAACAGGTGTAGTCTGGCTCGGTACAGTTGATGTTGGCAGTGATTCTGGAACACTCACAGTTTCATTTGTATTGTATATGCGCACTTTGCTAGATCCGCGCTCGCCATTTACTGGCCCCGCGACAACAACCCAACTTGATCACTTTGCACATGCAGCTTTCATCCATAGCTTTCATTCAGAGTGCATGTGTGCCACGTGCAATGTCCGTCCCTAGCTTTGCAAAGAAAGGGTGGCGTGCAAAGCAACAGAGGGGGTGCTCACCCAAAGGGACAGCACACGTACGAAACATCTAATACCACGCATTGTGACATTGTGTGTGCTTTTGAATGCTGGAGCTACAATTCACGAAATTGCTTGCAGCTGTGGCTACAAACCCTTGCTTGATTGGAAGGCATGATATCAGCTTCCGTTGTTGGTTTTGGGATGCTTGTACTGTTTGCTTTTACGTCCAGATTTCCTGTTTGATTTTTTCCACTGCCACGTTGGAAAAGACAGATGAGAAACTTTGGAGGGCAGTGTTTGTCAGTAATTACAGTTCTTTTGGACAAGTGGACACGAGTGGATGTGATTGCATCCAGTTTTTCTGCATTGTTGAGGTGGTTCCAACAAAGCTCTGCCACAGGAAATTTGTGCATGAGTTGTGTTGTATTAAGCCCTGGTTTGTTGTTCTCTTTTCAAGCCGCAGCATATCTTCTAGCAAATGCCAGGCTGCAGAACAACGTTTGGATGCCTTGCTGCAGAAAAAGCCCTAATTTGCGACCTGTGTCTTGGGAGGTAGCTGCGAAAAATGAACCAGACTCGTGGCATGTGGTTTGTCAGGGCATTGGGGAGAGAATGGAACGAATTATTTCACATCAGCGCGTCCTTTGAACGGCAGAGCCTGGCTGCCCAATAAACGCAGCTTTCATTAATCAGCGAGAAGTTATGCAAATCGCAGCTTAAGCATGCAGACGCTTTGTGCTTGGATATCGATTCTTTGGCATAGCTGGCTCAAAGACTTCTGCACACTGCATAAGGTAAAGCGAAAGAGCTTGTCAGGATCCCTGAAAAAAACACTTTCATTCAGATTACTTATGCTCTGTTTGCAGCGGACAGTTAGGCCCAAGGGAAAAAAAGACTTCAACAGCTACAGTGGAAGAATGCTTAAGCTACGGCTACATACTTTTGTGCAATACATCGCACGATAAAGTTTTGTTTGTTGATTTTTTGTCATGTTGCTCGGCTTGCTATGCTGCCCAGAACGGACCTGATTGCAACCACTGACCCAGCAGAAGGAGGACAGCCTCGGAGAATGTGTTGAGCCATGGCCATGACGCCCACTTGGTCTCCGAGGTGAATAGAAGCGCCCTTAAAACAGCAGAAGAGCGGAAGTGGGAATCCAGTGGAAGGAATTCCAACTATATTGGCAGACGGATGACATCATTACGCCCTTGAGAAACTAGACACCTCCCGCGCCCCCCACCCCTGCACACACACTTCGATAGGTTTCATTCAGTAAGATAATCCACAGGGAAAGGAATGACAGAACGGTAAGGCGAAACGTCCGAGCATTTGAAGGTGTTTGAACATGTGTTGCATACATCAAAGCGGCGGTGGTGCAGCTGCAGTCAGCGGAAACAGGTTTTGGAGACTATCATGAAAGGACCATGGAATCGAAAAGACAGCAGCAGGGTGGACCAGTGGAGTCCGTAAGATAACGAGCAGGTACAGGATCAAGCGTCCTTGATCCCATCCCAACAGTGATCATAGCTTCGAATCCCTTAGGTACAGGGTGGGACACACACACACACACTCTCAAGTCCAGAGTCTAGAGGCATCAAACTTTGGGGTGGGATGCTGTAAAGAATTTGAGAACGCTTCGAAGAACCGACCGAGGTGTTCGTAAAGATTGCAGATTTGCTTTACCTGTGTTGAATGACATGTATTTATTCTCTAACAAACAGCCAATACAGAAAGATGGCATCACGCATCAATGGCTATCTCTATTTTCATCCCTGAGCCCACTTCACTGAAGCCACACCAATCAGAGGTTGAAGTGAACCCCAGACAAGCGTGTGTCGCGAGCCAGGGGTGACCATCGATCATGGCAGGCCCGAAGTTGATTGGAGAAACATTTGACAATGTCACGAGGTACCGTGAGTTCAGGGACACTTTGAGTACTATGGGTAGAAGTGCTCTGCAGCTTGTGAACAAACAACTGTGATTTTATTAATGACTTGAATGAGCTTGGGTGGACTTGCCAAATCACTGGATGTGTCGCCGAGATCCAACATTCACAGTATTGAGATCATGATCCTGGGAAGCCTCGAATAACATGGAAACATAGGCTGTCCAACAAGTGGGTACGGCGCTCCCCATGAAGCTTCAGAAGGTTTCAACATTTTTTTTGAATTGACTATCCTTGTGCCTTGGACCTTGGTGCGTGCTTGATTTGTCTTTAGCTTTGAAAGGCCGTTCCAGAATGAACGTCTTACGGTTCAAGTCCATGAGAGAAGTGTTGATATTTCTTGAAGCGAGCAGCAACCTTTGCTTCCTTGTGACGAAGCTTTCAGAGCTGTCCTTGGCCCCAAACCCTAGGCTAAGTTGGAGCCATCAACGGCGTGAGAAGCTGAACACCTTGGCCTTCCCGGCCATCGCATGACAACTGCAAAGCATAATTCCTTTTCCTTTTGCTTCACCAAAGCAAGAGTGGGAATAGCACCAGCTCTAGCGATGTCTCAATACATAGATTCAAGACTTACATGCACCGACACTTTCAAGCCTCTAGTACTTGTGTGGACATGGGCCGAGTGCAGCATGGCTTTTGCACAGGCTGCTCTCTTGTGCTTCCCAGCAGGTGTCTGGGGCTAGGCATTCCAATTTGAAAGACAGAACTGAACACATGAACAAGTCTAAGTATGGCATGTTAACTTCCCCAAAGTCTAGTAAAGTAACAATTGAGCTCTTCTGCGTCCAAGGCAGTAGCTTCGTTGTTACTACTAAAACCCTTTACTACTAGCTACTTGCGTTTAGTACAGGCTTGCCCACTAGATTAAACTTCGCCTGACATCTAGAAACCAACTCATTAAGGCTCAGGCTTCTTCAGATTCCTTGAAGAAGCCTGAGCCCTTCTGCGTCCGGGCACCTAGTAATTACTTGTTCGCGTAGCAGCTACCCCGTGCTTGTTATCTACTTAAGCTTACTTCTCAAGCTACCATCTCTTTGCGTCTTGCCACCTCCTTAAGACCTTACTTCTTGTCTCAAAGTCGTTGCTTCTGTCTTTGGCAGTGTTTTCACGTGTAAAATAGAGGAGCTTTGGGGGTGCTGTGCTCCAGCAGCCCAGCCACCTTTGGCGCTGCTTGAAATGTGCCTGGGCACCCCAGAGTGTGTTTGAAAGCTCAGAGCCCTAAATGGTCCCAGAATTGTTCAAAGCCTTTGCTTCCATTTTCTGCATGCAATGTGTCGGCACTACGCGCTTCGGACTTCTAGGGCATTCTCCTTCCACAGCACGTGATCCAGTCGACTTTTGTTGAAGCAGCTAACTTATATATGTTGAACGTGCCCTTTGTTATGTACCTTTTTTGAAGGTGACAGGCTTGATCAGTGGGGCTGCTCCTTTTGGTTTAGTTGACCCAGGAAGAGCGCTGCTGTTGCATCCACTGTGCCTTGCTGAGTTCGGGCTCTTCCAGGGTGAAATCCTCTTCGACATACGGAGACTTTCTTTTTCTTCTTTTCTTCACAGTTGTTAGACGTTTACAAAAAAGTCATTTGGAGAGGCGCATGGTGAGACGGGCACTGCTTTGGATCGCACTTGTAACACTGCTTTAGCAGTGCCGATTAATACTCAGTTAGCGTTGCTAATGCCCAGGTGGATGTCCTCTGCCACTGAGCACCTTTCCCATCTCGGAACAGCGAAAGCCTCGAGATGGTAAGACCTGCTTAGTTTTTAATTTAATATATACATACAGTACATTCAAGCCAAATTTGAAACGAAGTAGTGGGGGTGCTGGGAGTGGGCAGGCCGCCAAGAGGTGGTAGCTCAAGAAGCCAGCTTGAGTAGGCAACAGTAGTAAGGAGTCGCTTCTAGCAGCTGCTAAACGAACAAGCTAGATGCCCAGACGCAGAAGGGCTCCGGCTTCTTCAAGGACGGGGGGAGCTTCCTTGAAGAAGCCTGAGCCTTAATGATTTGGTTCCTGGATTTTGCGGGAACTTTTGGTTCCTAGATGATGGTAGCTGCTTGGTAAGGCTTGGTTAGTTTTGTTTTAGGTAAGTAGCAGGAAGGAGGTTTATTACATACGACAGCGTAAATTCTTTCAAGTCTTCCTTGACAAAATGTTCTTTGATGGTTTTTCTTCGGGTGCGTTCGCAAACATTTGCAGTTCTTTTTGTGACTGCACTCTATGCGTATATTATATATTGCGAACGAGTTTCCATGTGCAGGAATATTGCATTACTAGCATCATAGAAAGAACAGTTCATTTGTAAATTGTGTGCATGAGGACCTACTGCGGTCCCTTTGCCTATTGAGAAAAGTATGGTTGAAAAGCTCCTAGGTCACTGGGATCCTGGGTGGGGCCTTTGGAGCTCAAACAGCTGGACTGGTGAAGAATTGTTGTGAGCAACACTCTGTACCCATTGCATTGTGTCAAAGAGACATTAATTAGTACAAGGAGAAGATGGAGGAGATCAGGGAAGTCCTTCAGAGTATAGCACAGAGCACGCTGGCAACGGCATCAGCAGCTGAGGCAGTGAAGAAAGCAGTAGAAGACAAGAAGCCAACGACAACAACAGATTGGTTAAAATTGATAGCGCAAAGCCCAACATCTTTGACTACAAGTCACAGGATGAAGAGATCAAGGCATTTAGAGAGTGGTCATGGATCTTTGAGAAACATTTGAGCGCAACTGATGAGGGCTACATGAACGGTTTGAAAGAGGTTCATGAGAAGCCAATGAGAAGTTTGATTGGGACTTGGCAACTGAGGCAGAGAAGACTAGATGCATCAAGCTCTATGGATTGTTTGCTTCACTGATAAAAAGGGGCACTGGTGAAAGCGGTGGAAGACTCTATTGGGTTTGATGCCTGGAGGAGTTTGAATAAAGCTTCAGAGGCAAGAGGCTTGGCACTCTTGGGAGCAGCCACTACACGGCCAGCATTTTCAATGAATAGTGCAATACACCACCTCAACTCTTGAAGCCTTTTGAACGTGACAATTGGTGACAATGTTCACTACCCAACTTTGAGGGAACATGTTTTGCAATGGGACAGATCTCAACAGAGGTGGTGGCTAGTAGCAGTACAGAATATCAAGGACCGTTGGTCGAGTCTAAGGTGCCAAAGGAAAAGGTAAGAAGGTCAAAAATGACCATCAGAAAGGAAAAGCTAAAGATGCCGAGGGCAAAGGAAAGAAAGGAAAAGGAGATCAGAAAGGAAAAGAAGGTGATCATAAGGGTAAAGGCAAAGGCGAAGACCAGAAAGGCAAAGGTGTGGCAGCGTGTTACACTTGTGGAAAGCCAGGACATCTGGCTAAAGACTGTTGGAGAAGCAATATTCGACAGGTAGCGAGTGATCAGACCCATTCATCTTCAGGAGGAGCATCAGTGAAAACTCATACAGTTGGCCAACAACATGCTAGTGTGAGCCAACAAGGGAGCTCAGCAGAGACCAAGCCTGTAGTCAGGAGAATTGTGAGCAGTGAGCCGACCATCTTTGACTTGAGACAAGGCGATGATGAGCCAGAAGATCAAGGAGTTCGAGTAATTCACTTCCACCTTGGAGATGATGATGATGAGGCAGAATTCCAGGAAGTTGAAGAAATTGACATCTCAGATGATGAGCCCATGGTGAGAAGATTTGGGGAAGAGAATGAGGATGTGGCCATCATTATTGACAGTGGAGCAGATGTAGCGTTATTCCCTTTGAGTATGGCAGATCATGGGGAAGCAGAGCCACAATTCAGCGCAAAGACCAAGCTACAAGATGCTCAAGGAAACCGCATCTCTACAGGAGGCGCGAAAAGTGTTGAAATTTCCTTGCGTGACCTTGATGGACGAGAAGTTCTTCTCAAAGAGAATGTGATCTTCAGTTCCAATTCCAAGGTAAATCAGCCCATGCTTTGTGATGGAAGGTTGATGGAACATGGTTGGGGAATCAACAGCAGAGAGCAAATGTTGGAGAACGGTGACTTGAAGGTACCACTCAACCTACAAAAACGTTCTTTGACAGTTCGAGGCCGCGTTAGAGTCAATTCGAGATGAAGATGAGAACTGCTTGGACGTGCAAGTACCTTAAGATCTTGAGAAAGAATCAGGTTCAAGATTCAATGAGCATGGGCTGCTAGAGGGAAGCTTATTGACTTCAAAAATTTGTGGATCCCCCAGTAAAGATGGCTAATGCCTGAATGTTGTGAGGGCGTGATGAAGAAGGATGAACTTGTTGAGCAATTCTTTGATGATGATGCAGTCATTCCTTCAATCACAATCTTCAGCTATGAGCTAGCATCACTAGAGGATATGGGATTCTCTGCGCCAGGATACAAGAAGCTTGAGAACAGAAAGCAAAGAAAGAAAGAAGTGCAGCAGACACTAGAAGAGATTACCCCTACTCCACAGGAGAAGGAGGTAGAAGGTCAGAAAGAAGATGAAAAGAAAGAAGATGACCTTGAGTGTGAACTACAGCTGAGCCCAATGGATGTAGACAAAGTCTTGGTGAATGGAATAGAGTGGACTAAGGATTCATCTTTGGCAACTCTGAGGGCAGCTTGTTCATTTCTCGGCATTTCAGGCAACGGCCCCAGGCTAAAGATCGACACCAAGATCCTCAATCGCAACAAAAAGATGGAATTGTTGAACGCCGAAAGCTTGGTGAGAAAAGCTCAGGAGACTAGAGAGGCATTAAGGCAAAATGTGGCAACGATGCCAGATGAAGCAACTCAAGCAAGGCGCAGATTGACGCGCGCGCCATATGCCAAGTGGTGTAAGGAGCGCGTTGAACATCGAGCGCGTCCAGATCGCCATGAGAGAACAGATTGAGTGAAGAGAGGAAGTATTCCTGAGGTGAGCTTTGACTTTTGCTTTACAAGAGCAAGAGACTCACAAACGAAGTCACCAAC